GGGCGGCTAGGAGCTGGAACCAACTTCCTAGGGAAGTGGTGCTGGCTCCTACCCTGGGGATCTTTAAGAAGAGTCTTGATGACTACCTGGCTGGACTCATTTGAGTCCAGTCTTTTCTCCTGCCCAGGCGGGGGGTCGGACTTGAAGATCTGCAAGGTCCCTTCCGACCCTACTTCTATGATTCTATGATTCTATGATTACTTAAATTTGAGAAAGAATAGTTTATTTATCCATAAATTATGAAAAATAAAAGCCCCAATCATTGTCTTTCAGCCAACAATACACGTTGCAAGGAAGTACTAATTTAATAGAATCATCTCCAACAGTTGTTAGCATGAGTGAGTAGACACAAAGCATTACACATCAGACTTTCAGACCTTAAACCCTAACTCTGCATGGTGATGCATGTAAGACTTTATTGCGTTCACACAAAATTACACACTGTCCTGAATGATCTTTTTCTTTAGTTCCCAACAGAAGTACTGATAAATAGTTTATATCTGAAAGCATTCAGTTAAGAAATGTACTTGTATTTACTAAGAGTATTAAAACCCCAAAGCAAAAAAAGAATATATGCTTCAATAATAGTTTGTTGATCTTTTGGCTAAAATAAAATCAGTTGCAGAGACTAGATAGTGTAAGTGTAATGTTGTAGCTGCAATGGTCCAGCAATTATGTGAGTTCTTTTGGAATAGGTTAGGTGAAGAAGATCGTTTTTCAGTTTTTCTAAAGTTCTCCTGCATAGTTGTGTCTTTCTCAGAGGCTATGCATTTGCAGGAGGTTGGAACTGACATTAAGCTAACAAATCATTTCCATTATTAATGTATATGCTCTTCAATCTTCTTTAAACTCAATTTAAAAATAAAGGATTACTTGGGCAATACTTTCTTTCTCAAATCCTAACCAGAATTCAGCTGTTCACCTGAGATTTGTGTGTTAATGTAAAGCTCATATTTCCTATTTTCTGATTGTTCCCCTACTACCTCTGAGATTAACTGTCAGTCTGATTTGAAACTTTCATGGCAATCTTCCTGAAAATCCATTTTCTTACCTCTACGCCATCATACTGCTCATCAAAGAGTGTGCAGTATTGCGGGAGTCCCAGCTGGGTCAGCCAGTTAGAAATCGATAAATGCTTCATCGTCTGTCACTTCCCTAGTCTCACGATGCTTTGACTGCAGAACAAAAATCAGGTTTTAGATCTCATGTATAGGCAAATACAACATAGTTGCTTATTCAGTGAAACTAGTTAATGAATGATAGATAACAGTGGAAAACTGACAGCATTGAAGGTCGCACATCAGTAGCAAATGGGCTCCTTTGATTATGTAGTACTATTAATTCTAAAGAAATTCAAATGATCAGGTTATTAATGTAGAGTTACTAGTTAATTATGTATTAATATGCTCATAGTTTGAGGTTTACAGACAGATTCTCAGCAGGCATAAATTAAGTCAATGGGACCATGACAGTTTATATCAATTGAGAATCTGTCCACAAGTCTGCATTTAATTCACTGTTTCATTTGTAACCTGATGTTACTGGGTATGTTAAAGGCTCTGTGTGTTTCATTTAGCTTTTGTGGTTTTTAAGAAGATGAATGAACAGAGGCCCACAATGCTATAGTATTAGCTAAAAATGCTCAGTTCTTATATTCATGGAGAATATTCTTCAATATCCTCATCCAAAAACCTTGCCATATTCCCTCCTTAATGTTTAGTAAATTGAATGATAAAATGTATGGGAGGGAGAGAATAGTGAATGGGACACTGATATGTGAATGAATGTGGAGGAAGTGAAAGGGACAGAGTGGCTTATAGGGGACAAAGAGTGAATAGGAATTTGTGGTGTGTGTTTATCAGAGACTCACAGACAAGTCAGTCAGTTAGAGAATATCCTATAATTGGGAAACAACATATAAATTGGGCTTTGTTAGAATGTTGGCTGAGCTTGATTTTGAGCATTCAATAAATGAAATCTTTCTAAGAACCTTTATATTTGTTGGCTTCTTCCTGTAACTAGGACTCAGCTTTGGTCCTCAGCTACAAGATCCAAGAACCCATTTCTTAGCTCATCTGCTGGCTCACAAGCCATGCTATTTTAACCTACCACCCACACTGGATATTAAAGGATGCCACTGGGGGGACAACTGTGCTGCACTGCCTGCAGTTCATAGTTGAGTTTTTTGGTTTTGTGGCTGAACTGAAAACATCAGAACAGATTTTGTGTTTTGATTTGGTGGCTGAAATTAAAGTTAGTTTGGATAATCCCACCTCTCAGGACTATGTCCTAACAAGTACAGCTGTCAGATATTCTTGAGTCACTGAGCCTCTTCTGTTGGAGTCCTTCCCTTTGTAGAAGTAATTAAATATTAATTGAATCAGAGAAATACTTCATGATTATAGCACTCTCCTGGTAGAAGGATCTCTCAGTTTCAGTCCCTGTTCTGGACATAGGTGGAATTTGAATCATGGGCTTCCACATGAAGTGTTCATCCTTTTCTGTTATACCAGGGAGCATCACTCTCCTCTTCAGTTGTGTGAACAGCACCTAAGTCAGCTTTATCTACTCCATAAAACCAAACTAACATATTTCACTAATGCTAAAGTGAACTGTTTGACAACATTTCCATTTGTTTACAACCAAAATACATTTTGGCAAAACAACTGTTTGTCTAAAAGAAATATTCTGCTCAGGAGCACCCTTTTCTCATCAGCATACAAAACGGCATTCTATCTGGCTCAGCCCTCTGTAGAGAGCCTCCAGTTATTACCACTCCAGTAGCGCAACTTGTTGTGTCATGGTCTCAAACTTTAATAAGTCATAATCTAACCCAGTTGTTCTCAAACTTAGTAATAGAACTCTTAGCAGTTACTTGGTGCTATCTTTTCTTGTGATCCGTGTACTCAACTGCATTAAAAGATATAGAAAAATATATTAAATAGGCCCCTAGAAAATGTTAATATAATGATATGATTAGGATCTGAGGAATTTATGCCGTATCCAAAAATTGTACATCCTACTATGCTGAAGGATGCACAATGTCTGGGATAGATTTCATAGGGCATAACATTCCTCAGATACCAATCGTGACACTGTTATAGCCAAACCAGGTCCCAGGGCTGTCCCCAACCCAATCCTGGGCTGGAGGGATGATGCTAATCATCAGCTGATTATCAGATTATCAGCATTAGCCCAGGGCAGTCCTAGGCCTGGTTTGAGATCTGGGGCTGTCCCAGGCCCAATGCCTGACAATTAGCTGATTGTCAGCATAAGCCTGGGACAGCTCCAAACTGGTTCAAAACCTGGGGCAGTCTTAATCCTAATGCTGATAATCATCTGATTGTTGGCATCAACTAAAGACATGCCATACCATAAATTAAATGAATATATGACATGTTGCAATTTATGTCATGATTAACATGTTAATCGCACAATAATTGTAATATCTACCCAGTGGCATACTTAGGGTGGGGCGAATGAGATAACTGTGCCCCGAGTGATAACTTGAGGAAGGGACCTGAAAAAAGCAGCTGCTGCTGACAGCTGCATGATCCCAATCATACAGCAACCAGAAGTCATTGCTGCCCCTGTGCCCTGGATGCCTGGCTGTGTCCCTATGTTACTGCATCTTCATAGACTCCTAACATCACTGCTTCATCTAATTAACTAGTGTATTTGACACAGAATTGTTGCAGGGTTCTGGATGGGCTTTTATTAGAAGATGGAGCAATGAATAACTTTGACATCTGACTTAAGCCTATGACTGGAAGCCTAAAAATGTTATGGCTCTCTCAAATATATATACACTAAGACTGTATATATATTTAAATAGGATGCATTCAAATCCAGTGTCATAACATCTTAGATATCTGTGTTAGATTTTTTAAGTTTTTGATCTTTTTCCATTGCTGAAAAATTTTAACTTACTCTGTATATAGACTAATAGAAATGTGACTTTTCAACAACAAAACACTTGTTCTAACCTGCCTGCCTACTCCAAATGTGTAACATGAAACTGCCCACAGGCTGATGTACTATGGTCAGCAAGAAGCCATAATTGCTTTCTGTCAAACAAAATTAGCTGTTTCACGTTCTTATAATTCTTGGAACATTGTAACAGTGCTGAAGTTATACATTCAACAGACTGCAAAGCCAAAAAAACCTACCCTCTAAAGGAAAGCATGACATAATGCAGACATTGCATTCTTTAAAGTACAAAGATGTCTCATTGCTGGGAAAGTTTAGTAAGAATTTAGGCTAGAAAAACTTATCTGAAAAGCCACGGAGTATTTCACAGCAAAATGGTATTTTTTGGATGCCACTAAGAATTTCATCTTGATAGTCATCTTGGAAGAGAGCCAGGGGGATTACATTTCACAGGTATGAAGATACTATTATACTGTGAAAGGACCCTAAACTCTGGAGTCTTCTTCTGTTCTTGGTCCATAGGTACCACATCGGTAAGATAAGCTAGGTAGGCTGTGAAATGCATTTCCCTCCATCCCTTTTCAAGCATTTGGTTCCTGAACCTTCATAATACTCAAGTACATACTTTAAAAGGTTGGGTTGTGGATGAAGATGTTTAGAATGGTATGATATGAGAGCGGTGTGATCAATACTATCAGTGCAGCTTTCTGGGTTGCAGGCCATCCATTATATTATAGCTTCTGTCTGTTATGTTATATACTTTTCATTATTGTGCATGCACCTACAACAAATGTATGGGTGCTTTAAGCATAAACTGAAAGAATGAAATGCATTAAACTAACAGTTCAAGAATGCTCTGATGATGTAACAGTTCATTACAACACTTACTGGGGGATTCATAGATTTCATAGACATTAGGGCTGGAAGGGACCTCGGAACATCATTGAGTCCAGCCCCCC